AATTTCCACACTTTCGAGGACAACCTGAGTGAGGCAATAGAAAGGCAAGCAGCTTAACAGTGTGTACCCACTATTGCTATCACATGTGCTGGCAGAAAATGAAAGCAGCTGGCAAAGTCCTGAATACTTACTAAGTTGAGAACAGCATAATGACATTAAAGACAATATTATTTCTTCTCATTTACATTTTTATGTTGACAAAGGTCCTTATGTAGATTCAAACCAACAAGTGTTATTTTGCTGATATTAGCATGTTTAGTTTTGGTAATTGCAGCTTTAAACTATTGTATGTTTTCGAAGTGTAAACTGGTTCTGTATTAAAAGTTTCCTGATACAAATACACTGGTAAACCTTTTCTTTCAAGGTGCAAGCAACTTCTTAGTTTGTGGGTAAGTGCGAAAATGAACTTGAATTGTACTTGTGTGCTATTGGGGACTGAGATGTGAAATACTAAATCTAATGTGGTAGTCTTTAGTAGTAGATTAATGGTTAGCAACTGTAAATTAATTTATTAATTATTCTGTTCAGGTTTTGAATTTTTTTTTTTTTTAAATCTTTATGGCTCCATATAAAGTTGGATGGCCTCTGTAAGTCATGGGGTTAAGAGCTATCAATGGCATGAAATTTAACAAGTCAAAATGTCAGACTCTGCACCTGGGATGGAGTAACTCTGGACACAAATATAAATGGGGAGAGGAGTGGCTGGAGAGCAGCCCTGCAGAAAGGGCTCTGGGGGTGCTGGTCAGCAGCAGGCTCACCATGAGCCAGCAGCGGTGCCCTGGCAGCCAAGAGGGCAACCTGCATCCTGGGGAGCATCAAACACAGCGCAGCCAGCTGGCCAAACGAGGAGATTGTCCCCCTGTATTCAGTGCTGGTGCAGCCTCACCTGGAGTGTTGTGTGCAGTCCTGGGCCCCACAATTTAAGAAAGCTATTAAGGTCCTTGAATGCATCCAGAGGCCAGAGGAGGGCAATCAAGCTGGTGGAAGGCCTGGAAGGCATGTCCTATGAGGAGCGGCTGAGGTCTCTGGGTTTGTTGAGTTTGGAGAAAAGGAGGCTGAGGGGCGACCTCATTGCTCTCTGCAGCTTCCTGAGGAGGGGACATGGAGAGGGAGGTGCTGATCTCTTCTCCCTGGGATCCAGTGACAGGACATCCAGGAATGGTTCAAACTTGCACCAGGGAGGTTCAGACTGGATGTTAGGAAGCCTTTGTTTGTAGAGAGGGTGGTCAGACACTGAAAAAGGCTTCCTGGAAAGGTGGTTGATGCTTCAAGGCTGTCGGTGTTGAAGAGGCATTTGGACAATGCCCTTCATAACATGCTTTAACTTTTCGTCAGCTGCAGTCGGGCAGTTGGACTAGATGGTCGATGTGGGTCTCTTCCAACTGAAAGTATTCTATTCTGTTCTGTTCTACTCTATTTAGAAATAAATACATTTAAGTGCAAGATGCCAGGTACGTGTTAAATTTCGAAGGACTTTCTGTTGGCTTGCAACTAATTCTGTGAATACTTGTAAATATATCCTAGGACTTTCTGAAGATTCAGTGTGTTAACCATATTATACCCTTCCTCTATAGTTTAGTAAACTGAATATATTAAAACAACCTCTAATCGTAACAGTGATCTTCCTACACCGTAATGTCTTCTTATGCCAGCTGCTTTGTCATTTTGCTCTGTGCTGCTTTATTTAGGTTGGTTTATTAAGTTTTTGAAGAATGTGTAGGAAATGTAAGTTTGCTTTTATTGCTGCAATATAGAAATATGCTAAATAGTTTATTACTATGACATATTTTTGCATAGGAAAAACAGTATGGTTTTAGTTCGTTGTGTTTGTTGCTGGCATGATGATCTCATGCAGAAGAAATTCCTGGTAAATACCTATATATTTGTAGTCTATTACATGTGGAGCTCCTAATGTAAATATTAGTAAAATGTTTCTTTGGTTTGTTGAAAAGTAAATAAGCACTGAAAAATATTAATTGGTCATGTGATCTCAATTCTTTGAGTGAAAGTTTCCTTTAAAAATGCCTACTGAAATAGGCAGAGATCACAACAAAGTTTGATTGAAAACAGCACAAAAGGAAAATAAATTCAGTTTACTCGCTGCTTTTGTTTTCAGTCATGAAACAGTAATTTACTGTCAACTTTTTTGTATTAAGCTGTTTCCTTGACTCTAAAGAATGTTTTAACTTTATATTTGAAGCCCTCCCACTAACTGCCTTGACAAAATGTATTTTTCCCCTTTAAGATAGATTAGACTAGATCCTAGTGTTTTATCTGTACAGAAACTTATATCAGATGTGATGATTCTTCTAGATGCTAAACATCTGGGTTTTTTAAAAAAAGAGGTATTGAGCTAGCACTTTTTTCTCTGGAGTGTTACAGTTTTAGTTCCTCATTTAAAAAGTAAAAAAAAAAAAAAAAAAAAAAGGAAGCTTTCTGGAAATTCATGGTGGTTTTGTTTGTTTTGGAATACTTGACTAAAATTTGACCTTTGCAAAGTGGGAGTGCAACCTGAAAGTAGTGCAACCAAAGTAAGAGTGTGCCAATGCCTAGTGGTTATTCCTAATTACAAGATACTTTATTTCAAATATAATTAACCATTTTATGTGAACTGAAAACGAATGTACATATTGTCAAATTACATTATCTCTGTATTTCTAAGATTAATGCCATTTATTTTTTATTGTTAAAATAAAGTAGAATATATCCTTCCTGAATCAATATTCAGACTCTATGTAATAATAGTTTTCTTTATTAGACTTAAAAATGATTTTTTAATACTCATATTTTCTGCATTTATATAACTGCCTTGAAACAATATTATCTCATTCCAGAACATCCTAATCCTGTATCTTCTTATAAGCAGTCTGGCATTGTGCTAAATGGCAGTGCCTCTGCAGAACAGAACTGATAAATCAGAGTGGAATCACTAGGATCATATTTGTCTGGAGTACAATCCTCACATTGTGTGGACGCTTTCACAACATGTTAAAATGTGGATGCTACAGGACCAATTTGTAACCTTGCTTGCATTCTTCAGTGGTTGCTGTGCTGTATTATGATACTTCCCTAAAATCAACTGCTGAGTCCCTTTTGGAAGCACTTGAATGAAAATGCTTATACATGACAAGAGCTGGTATGAAGAGTTAGGAGTATGCCACTTGTGTATGAAGTAGACAGGCTTACCTGTTTCTTTTTTTTTTTTTTTTTTTTTTTCCAGTTACAGTTAGAGAAGGAACATGTCCCTTCCAGGTTCTGTGAAGGAAGATACATATACTTTCTAATGCAAGGTTTTAAGGAGAAGTTATAGAATTTCCTAGAAGGTTTTGTACCTGTGAGGTCTGAAAAAGTGTAAAGTTGTTTTGTCCTTTACTCTGCATCTCTCTGATATCTTTTCCAATGAGGGATGTAGCTACAATATATTTCTTTTCTCAGTCATTGCTAATAAACCCCTTATTCATAAATGATGCTGAATGTGTGCTGCAGGGCTTACTGCTGCTTCGTTTGCTCCCGTTTTATTTCTTTACTCTCAAGGTCTGTGGGATACCATTAGTGGCTCTTAATTTTCTCCTCAAACTGTAGGTGTAAGATGCTGCTAGTAAGGATTTTCATTCAGTTTTTTTACATAGAGTAGGGTGATGGGGTGCTTTATAGCTTCAAAGAGGAGACAAGACATTGAGGTAAGGATTAGGGAGTACTGGGGGATGTGTGTTTTGGGAATAGAGTTTGACATGGGAAGATGATCTATTAGTTTTAGTTAGGAACTAAAACATCTAAACTTAGTAAAAAGAAACTCCGGGAAAGTTTAGCACTTAGAACTGTCCACAGCATGTAAAGTTTAGCTTTTTAAGAATATGTTCCACTTAACTTTTTGTAGGTAGTGGGAAGAAAGCAGGTCTCTAAGACTGTTGAAAGCAACTTAAATTTCACATTTTCTCTTTTTTTAGGTTGGCTGAAGACTTTTGATGATTACTTCAGAGATCAAACACAGCATATCTTAAATAATATGGTTGTAAAACTGCAAGAAGACAACCGAAGGAAATTTATATGGTCTGAGATTTCATACTTTTCAAAATGGTGGGATGGAATAGACAGCCAAAAAAAGGATGCCGTTAAAAGGTTTGAACGCTGGACTGTTATGTATCTTCCATATGGCATGTTCTGAGACTTTGTGTATTTAACTACACTGTAAACTCGAGACTTTACTTTTTGTGATGCAGAATTGCTAGAATAATCAACTACTCGAGTTTTGATTTTTTGGGCTTGGTTTTGTTTTTTCCCAGTTACAAAAATAAAACTCTGTAGAGAAGTGAAGCCAAATCACTGAGTTGCTGAAAAAATTGGCCAAAAGTTCCCATGCACAGCCATGAAGATGTCATTCAAATTGTAATGGAATCGTGATTATGAACTTTATTTGATTTCACTTTGAAGTATTGGGAATGGAATAAAAATAATCTTTCGTATTAGCTTTTTATATATGGTAATTTCTTCTTCATTTATAACACAATTATGAAATGAGGTTTTTTGGTTTTAAATATGTGTATTTTTTTATAAACATGCAGCTGATTAAATGGTAAAGTAGTGCGTAGTCTACCCCCTTGCTGCTGCTCTTAGTTCTTTTTAAAACCATAAGTAAAAATGTAGTACAGAAGCAAAATGTTTGGCTAGACATTGAAAAAAAAAGAGTGTTGCTTGGATGAACTTGAAGCAAGGGTCTAATTTGCAGTTTTCAAACAGGTTTTTTTGTTTGGTTTGTTTTGGCTTTTTTACTTTGCTTTGTGACAAAATCCAACAGTTTTTAGCTCATGTCTCTGATGCCCTCCTTCTCATGCTCCCCTTCAAGATGCACAGTTTGTGGTATACATTAAGGCTATGAGACCCTCACAGCTGCAAAGGTTAAGTAATGCTGGAAATCTTAGGAATGACATAGAAAACTATCTATTTAAAAATTTATGTACAATGAGTGAGTATTATAGCACAGCTGTTGGGTTTTGAGATTAAAAAGAGCCCTTGGAACACAATAAACAGTAAAAGAAAGTCACTAGGGAACTGTCCTTTCTTCAGGGGAATCACATATTGGTTAAACTGCTGTAAGACTTACAGAAGCTGCATTGGAGATTATTTTTGCTGTATGTTTTTCATTACTCTTATGGGTATTATCTATCATGTGACTAAGTTTTGATAAGTTCACTTTATTTCTTAAATTCATTAAACATTTATATGCTAGTGTACAATGTAAGTGCTGAAATTGCATTATTTAACTGTAGGGATCACCTGGGTCTGGAAGCATGGCCATTGTGTTCACTAACATCTTAATAGAGAGACTCAATCATCATGTGATCTGATTCAAGAAGGCATTTTGATGAGTGACGTGGTCTGAAGCCTTTATAGATATAATAAAATTCAAAACTCTATCAGCTCTCTAAAACAATAAAAAGAACAGTAGATCAAAGACAGGGGGTTATTAGTAGTGCTTGAAATGTACAATGTCTAGGCATTTCGGTCAATTGGCCTTCAGTACTGTGGCACATACACTTTTATTTTTGTAATCTATGCAGGAAATAGCCTTCTTCCTAATGTAAAAAAAAAAAAATAAAATAGGGCACACGCAGTAGAGCTGGTAGTTTTCATTGCACAGAGACATTTAAAATTTCACTGTTTATCTATTAATTCGTTCCCTGTTTAACTAAAGAAATGTAGTAGCACAAGCAATTTGGATTTTGGCATTGTGTCCCTGGTAAATACCTATTGGGTATCCAGAAATTGATTTTTAAGAGTGTATTTTCATATGCAAGATTCTGAACAAAATTTACATATTTTTCAGGTTAATAAAAGATGGACAATTTGAAATAGTAACAGGAGGATGGGTCATGCCTGATGAAGCCTCTCCTCATTATTTCGCTTTAATTGACCAACTGATAGAAGGACATCAATGGCTAGAAAAGAACCTTGGTATGTAGCTTGATCTAAAAGTTAACTGTGTTAATACAGGAAGTCCATTTGTATTTCTGAGGTGCTTAGAAGGCTCTCTACTCTGCTTTCCAGAAACATTGAATCAGACCACTTACTGGAAGCTATAGGATTGAGTATAGTATTTACAATTACTGTGTGCAGATAGAAGTTCCTGGGTGAAATGTATTTAAAAAATTTTATGTTATAACACTTTGTCTTGATCAATGAAAGATGTGCATAGTATATTAGCATAATAAAATATAACACTAGATCGTCCTGAATTGTAGATCATGTGTCTCTGGTATCACAGTTTCCAATTGCCATTTCTGTCTTTTGAAAATCATAACAAAGGCCTTAAAATTACTTGAAATTTTATATTCCTTTTATGTGTTTAAATGTATTCTGCAGGCTGCGTATTCATTAGGTTCACTTATGTAGGGCTTTCAAAAAAGGAAATATGAAATTTTGTAGCAATTGTTGTTGCAGCAGTAGTAGTTGTTATAAAATCTAAATGCATTGTAATGTAAGAATTGTTCATATTTAAAAAAAACTCATTTGCTTTTGAAACTTTGAGGAACTACTGACTGCAGTAACACTGGCTGAACTGTTCTGGTGGCTTTGGGCAGTTTTTTTTTCTTGAGTTCTATAGTACAGATAATCCTTTTTATACAGAAAATATTTGTACAGTGATACTTACTATTAAGTAAGTTAACATTACTTCAATTAACAGAAATTATTTTGAAAAGCTGTTTCACTGTTTTTCTTTGATTGCAATTTCTATAAACACAGCTTGACATAATTAAGACATGGGAAGAGGGAAGGCCTAATAAAAGGGTAATGCATTCTACTGTTTTTTGGTAAGACAGTAAAAATGTGCCTAAGGAATGATGTTGAAGAATCAGTTAAACAAGATTTAGATATTGCTTTTTTATTTGCTAGTAGGAAGTTCAGTGAAAAGTCAGTAGTAATCAACATGATTCTAATGATTGCCAACCAAATAAATCAAAAGAAAAGCTAACTCCAAAGCCAACAAAGGTTAACATGATTTAAATTACAGTGAAAATTCAGCAAGGTACAACATCAACCCATCTCCATCCATTCATTTTCTTTCAGCTTTCCTTTGCAATTGTAGCACCTGCAAACTACTTAGAGTGAAAAAGATGTATTTCATTATGGTTCCATGTAAAGATTGATACACAGTGGAAATATTGTAACAACGTAAAGTACTAATTGCAGGGTTTTTATATAGTTAGACGAATACCTTGCCTTTAAGACATTTGATTTTTTTGTTTTGTTGTTAATTGTTAATCTGTTTAATTCTAGCTTGTTAATTCCAGGGTGTGTTCTGCAGGAGGCTTAATATTTAGCTGTATGTTTTAATTTATCTTCTTGGAAATTCTATCTTTAGTCTTCTAATTTGAATTATATTGGTATAGCTTTCTTTGAGTGAAAAGTAAAACTTTCTTCCCATTTTAATTTTTTCTTTTGTCAACAGGAGTAAAACCAAAGTCTGGTTGGGCAATTGATCCTTTTGGGCATTCACCAACAATGGCCTACCTTTTGAAACGCACAGGATTTTCCAATATGCTTATACAAAGAGTTCATTACTCAGTTAAAAAACATTTTGCAATGCAGAAGACACTAGAATTTTTTTGGAGACAAAACTGGGGTATGTGTTTTTCCTTTATGTCAAGTTATTTTGTTAATTTATGCAGATAAAATATGGAGAGAACTTGAGTAAATACTATGGAAATCTTTACACAACAGGTAATTTAGAGAAGTTAGTGTAGATGTGCAGTTCTGTTAAAAGTCTTTCACGTAGGTTAAGTTTTGGGGTGGGGATTTTTTTTTTTTTTTTTTTTGTAACAGAAAGGGAATGTGAGTACCTGTGTGTTAGGAAAGGGGTTAAGTATAAAAACGGTATTATTGCCATTGTTCCTCTGATCTTCCTGTTTCTTCCCTTCCATTTGTGCTTTTATTTTCTCCTATTTCCCTTCTCCCAACATTCCTTACAAGTATATATATAAAAAGTAAATGGGGTGGAATATTCTTTTTCCTTTTCTCACTTCTTTGTTTTCTTCTTCCTACTCCTACTATATGGAAATAAAGTAGAGGAGAAGGAACGTTGCTCTTGATGGGGGAAAAATAAAAGGCCAAAAGTGAATATTTGGGCAGATCTGTCTTGTTTATGTTCTTAATAAGGAAAAAACTTGCAAGCAACCAGTTTTCCTCAGCTGGTGTGACAAATTAGCATCATTAGTTATAGTAGCTTGCTGTGGATTTGAAATTTGTAGGTTATCTTTAGTCAGAAAAATACGTTAAAAACATTTCACCATTTAAATTTGCAATGAATTCTCATCTAAAACTTTATTCTTAGAATAAATATAATTGCTTTTTTGATATTATTTATACAATATAGAGTATGAAAGTTTTCTTGGTAGTGTAGTGATTATACCTTAGTAAACTGATGTGTCTGTAAATTAATGTACTTTTTCTATATGGATATTTTGTTTTGCTTTGTACTGTAGCAGCATTCCAATAAGCTGTATGATAAATGTACGTAGGTAAGGTTTTGGTCTTTCTGGCTTTTAAAGTTAAGCTAGTATGTCACTGTTTTGTCACTACAGGGTCAAACAAACATATTTGGTACTTACTATTGAAAGATTGGGGTGGTGAGTTTGAAGCTTTTTAGTTCCTCTGTGTTTTTAATCGGAAATTGTAGGAAGGAGAGGGTATTCGGAGACAGCAATCTGCTGCACAAATAAACTTGACTTGAGGAGAACACACCAGTGTGAAAGAAGTTGTCAGATACTGATACTTAAGAGACTTCTTTGAATGTTGGTATATGCTACTCAGGATACAGAATACCTGATTGACAGGCCTTTTTCCTAAATAGTTGTATATGTAAATCACATGTGATATGATCTAGTGTACGGGCTTCAAAAGAAGGTTTTTCAAGACAGATCACGTATCAAAGCTCACTGCACACTCAGCTGGTGTAATATGTAGACATGGTACCCGACATGGAGAACTCCTGTAGTTGAAAAGTAAATGCATATGCTTATTGAATGTTACCTTTTCAGTAATAAACAAGTAGTAGTAAAACAGGAGTTTTTAAACAAAAGGTATGGATTGGAACTGTGAAGACTCATGCTGTTAAGGTTTTGAAGAGTATTTTCAAATGTATGGTTGACATACTTGAGTGTCAGATTCTGTGGCACATCTGCAGCATTCATCCTTTTTTTCCAGTAGAAAATTACTTAGTGCTGGAAACAGGTAATCAGCATTTAGGGTTTTTACCAGATGAGTAAACTTATGGTTCTCTTAAGTTCTGTGAGAACTTCAGGTTCTCTTTAAAGTTAAATTTTCAAAGGCCTTCTTTTGAGACTTGATAAAATGTGTGTGGATCTGTGCTCCTTGTGGGTTAAACTTTAGGGAATGGACTGACAAGATGGAAAAGTTAGGATTGCAAAGATGGTCTTAGAATTGCATAGAATTCCATGTACTTTTATGTACAATCTATCTACAGGTATGTAGAATCCTACTATTAATGTATTGAAGTTGTGTGTTCAAGAAATGAAGACATTGCTAAAGCCAACCAATTCAAAGATGGTGCTAATGAGGTAATAACAGCAGGGTGATTCACTCAAACTATAAAAGATGTGTCTTGTTCACCTCTAAAACTCTGGCAATAATGAGATTTATAGGTTAAAAAAAAACACACTAGCATTTTGTTCCTATCTTTCATAATCAGCTGGTGCTTGATTCGAACATTCCAATCTGTGTTGTACCTCTGTTTTAGCCTCTTTATATGTAAGGTAGATACAAAGGTAGACTGCAGGTGTGGATATTCAAAGCAAGGAATTGTCTTGATCTGATGGTTTTTAATACAATTAATGGATTAAGAACATAGAACTGATTTAATTTTGGCAATTCGGAGAGGATTTATTTTAAAGGTGTGCTCTGTGTATTTAATTCCAGATTTGGGATCCAGTACAGATATCCTTTGTCATATGATGCCTTTCTATAGCTATGATGTTCCTCATACTTGTGGTCCAGATCCAAAAATCTGCTGCCAGTTTGATTTCAAACGTCTTCCTGGAGGAAGAGTAAGCTGCCCATGGAGGGTTCCGCCAGAAGCCATTCATGCTGGAAATGTTCAACACAGGTACAAGTTTTACATACTCTGCAAGGGAATAACTTAAAAAAAAAAAAAATGCTGGTCAAAGATGATATTTAGCATAGCTTGGTGAATTTATATAGTTCTTAAACTTGTAGGATAATGATACCTATTACTTAACATAGTGTTTGTTCATAAGTTCAGAATGCAATTGACAGTGAAATTTGAAGATAGTTTATAATTAAGATGTATTAATGTCTTCTCTATTCATGATACATGAGTCTAGCTATTACTCTCTCTGAATGCTAGGCAGAACATAGTCTCTGTTTGGTTATAGTCATGTTACTAGTTCACTGTAGTTGCAAATTTTATGAATAGATTGTGATCTGTCTCCTGCCAGTGGAAAATTGCAGGGAAAGCGTGTAGTATGCAAACAGTGAGATGTTTTCTATGGTATATCCTTGCAGAACTTGGCAATCTGTGCCCTAGGTTTCTTGAAGTGGACACTTTAAATGATTCTGAGTCCTGTGTCTTGCATGTCTGGGGGGTGGGGGTTGGAAATCATATTAACCTCAATTTTACTTTTCAAATAGGAACACTGAGTTGTTTTGCCACAGGTAAGAATCAAGTTTTACAGTTGTGCAAAACTACTTTTCAATTTTGGGAGGAGGGGTGAAAAAAAGAAAATAAAAAAAGGAGGGAATAAAAAAAAAGGATAGAACTGCTAAAGGCTTTTCCAGAAAAAGGTTGTATTCTACAGTCCTGTTACTATCTTCAGGCATTCAAACCATCCCCAAGTTCAAGAGTTAAAAATTTAGGTAGGTGTTTAGAATTGTTGCAAATTGCTGAGTATAACAAATGTATTAAGTGTAGCAGGGTGACTTTTTGGTTCTAGTCTTGATGCTGAAGTTTTGAAGTGATGATGTGATGATGATGTGTTGGTTGTCTGCGTGTCAAGTTTGCGTGTCCTTTTTCCTAGTATGAATTTTTCCAAGCATCTTGAAAATTTTACTTTATCAGTAAAACTCAATTACAAAATTTTATAAAAATAAAACCAAAATAAAACAGGATACTTTACAGTTGTCATATTTTAAGATAGAAATTGGAATGACGGTAACAAAAAGTAATTTTCTTTAAAAGTAGAAAAATGAAAGCTGCAGGTGATGGGAGTAGAGCTATTAGATGAATCATGACACACCCAGTGTTTATCGAATGTGAAGGAAAGCTCATGTGTCTTGAAATCAACACTGTAAAAAGAAAAATCTTGAATATGTATCCCAGTTAGCTGAGGCCAATATTTGTAGAAGAGTACCAGCTTGCTTAAGCTGTTTAACCTCAAACACACATAGGCTATAATTATAATGTAGAGAGCCTGCTTGGAATGCTTTTTTAGGTTTTGGGGGTTTAATTAGAACTTAGTTTATTCCTGCACTTCCAAGATGCAACCTTTGCATAACGATCTAGAGTAGACCTTGTAAAAGAAATGTTTCTTTCATCGTGTCATCTGAAATCAAAGAATAAAAGAAATGGGGCGGGTACAAACATACAAAAATATGATCAAGTTGAAGAGATCATCATCTCAGTATGTTCTCTGAAACTTAAATCTTTGCATCAGCTTTTGGTAGATAAAAACAGTTTCTGTGTCTTAACAGGGAGTTGAAACAGCAGTATGGTAGGTAATGCCTAAGGTAAAAGTAAAACTAACACATGGTCTTTCAGTTAGGAGCCTGGATTATTTACACTACCTGGATCTGAAAAAAGTATTTGATACACACTTGATTAATTTAGAGGCAAAGTTTGGATCACTAACCTTTCTTCAATGCTAAAGCTGCCACAAAACTGATAAAACACAAATCTTGAATACTCAGCTGGGACTGTTGCTCTTGATTTCAGTACTATTATAGCCATACATATATACTGAAGAGATACTGAACTGAAAAGACTAGTAGCTGCTGGATTTATCACTGCCTTGCCAGTTGTGATTTGGTAGGAAGGAATGAAACAGAAGCTTAATTGAAAGCCTCTACTTGTTTAACTACACTTCATAACAGCTTAGGTTATAAAGATTGCTGTTGTTCTTGCCCTGTTGCTGCATCGTTATCCACGTGTTTGAATATTGAAGTTCTAGCTTTTCACACTAGCAAGAAAAAACAGTTGTGTGTGTTTTGGTTTTTTTTTTTTTCTTGAATGGGAATGAATTGTTTTGTTAGAGGAACTATAGCTTGTTTTGGTGTATGTCTCCCTCTCCCATGCATGGAAATAGGAAAGAATCTGTACTGCAAGTTATGTGCTTCAGAGGAGCAGAAAATGGACTTTCCTCTTCACATGCTACCATTCAAGAGCCTAATTTTACCCTTCAGCTTTTTTCTCTTTATGGTTGGTCACATTGCACAACTTGTAACTGGCATTCAGAATTACATTGGTGATGTGGCATTGATAGTTAATGTTTGTGATTTGCCAACCTCAAGAATCTGAGATCACCCTCTCGGGAAGTACTCGTCCTGTCTGCACAGCCATCTCCTCCACAAAATTACCTGAACAGAAAAACTGGCCATTCACCAAATGGTTTTCTTTTCTAGCTGAGATAATTGAGCAAAGAGTGAGTCCCTAATGCTTCATGTGCTGTATGGGCTGAAGTAGTAGGGACTGTGAAGCCATGACCGCTGTCAAACCTGTCACATGGGACTTGCTATAGCTGCTGCAAAATTTCTTGTGATTCCCACAGGCTCTGGATGGCTGCTTCTCCTTTGACATAGCAAGGAGCAAAACTAGCCGCGTTAATTGTTTTGATATGTTCTAGATAAATACTTGGAATTTTTGCATGAAAGGAACACACTTGTGATATGAAGGGGTTTTCTTCATTTCTGAAATGTCTTAAGCATTCAATGATAATCTGAAAGCTTTCCAAAGAAAGATGAAAAATATTCTTGACGCTGTTATTGACAATGTTGATATACTTCAGTATTGCCAACTAAGAGTGCAGCTGAATATTGAGAACTACATAATGCGTCTTGTGGACAATTCCACGGACTTTTGATTGTATAAAACCGAAAATCTGGTTTTATTCTTTTTTCAAAGCCATTAAAATGCAGTTGCTGCTGATTTGCTATATCCATAATTATGGTGCTACAAAAATTTTATCACGACTGATCTCTCTGGGTTACAAATTTCTATTCAGGTAGGCAGGATAAACATATCAAAATGTATCTAATACTGTCTTGCATCTACTACTGACTTGCTGGGGATCCAGAAGGGAAAAGTGTTGGTGAGACTTGGTGGAATCTGGGGTTTTTTGTTTGCTCTTTTTTTTTTTTTTTTTTTTCCTCCAGAAGTATTTTTCATCTTCACCAAATTCTGTCTGGGTTTTCTGATGACTCTTTCTCACTCTTGTATGAAATAATGATTTAGGAAGTTATTTGGGAGAAACTTAAGAGGATATACATGACTTGAGACATCTAGTTTTTCTTTGGTGTTTTTGCAATTGAAACTGGTTTGCAATGGAGGAGGATCCTGCTGCCCCCTTCAAAAAATACCTAATAATCCTACAGTTTCGGGTACTTTGAAGAAAGTGAGAACAGCAACACTGATGAATTTTGCAGTAGACTTGGAAAGAGACTAGAGGAGGACTTTGAAGAGAGATGTTGAAGTCAAATATCCCGTTAACTGTGACCTTTCCTGAAGTCCCATATTTTTCAAGAGGCTCTAAAATAAAGTATGTTCCCAACTGTAGGCTGTGTGTGGGAGATTTGAGTTAGTTTGGCTTCTTAGAAAGTAAAATTACAAAATTTTGTGGTGTTCTGTTAGTTGTGTGGAGAGGAAGTCTTTATGTTTACATCAGCAACCTGTTGAAAGTCATGGAAAATACTGAATCAGGTGTAAATACTTGGGAGACTGAACTATAGTTTGATTTATGGACAGAGAGGGATGAAGCCACTAGTTGGGTCTGTTCTAGTCTCAGCAGAACTATGTAGATCCTTAACTAAAGGTGATGATGTGCCCCCTCTCTCCCTCCAGAATACAGTCAGATTTTGTGTTTACTTAACACTTCTGTAATCTGATAAACAAATAAACCCTGACTTGCTGATCAAAGAAATATTGGTTTCAAATATATTGGACTAGATTCAATTCTCCCATAAATGTCTACATAACAAATCTTGAAGAGTATGAGTTGAAAGTAGATTTTGGTAGACTATTAAAAAGACTTGTAGAAACAAAAAGCTCACTGGAATCTGGATGTTGCTGCTATTTTCTTTAAAACTTTGTCATTTGTATTCCTGTTTTTTTAAATATGTTACTATGGCTTATGTTCCCTACTAAAATTATTTCCATGACTTAATTAGAGAGAATCACCATCTGAAGATTTTGATAGCAGTTGTGGTTGAGGGGAGGAATGGACCTTTCCAGTAACCCAGACATCAGACTTGTAACTTTTAATACATTGCTGTTTAATGACAGAACTGATACTTTACCTGTCAAAGAGTTAGTAGGTGCCAAAGGATGATTTTACTGCCTTTTTTCTGTGTGTGCACCTGTAGGTTTTTGGTTTTTGGTTTGGGTTTTTTTTGTTGTTGTTGTTTTTCTTTTAAAAGCCAAAAGCAGAAAAGCAGTGGTTTTAATTTTTCAGGACATGCTTAAAACTTAAGAGAGTTTGGCTCTTAAGACAGGTAAGAAGCTGACTGAAAGGGGAATATTGATTGTTAGTAGTGAACTTTCTCCAGATTTTTTTAAATTTTTTTTGTTTTTTGCAAGGCTAGAGTTCCTCAAAGATTAATTTATGGGCAGTTTTTCTGTCAAGGACATGAAGATGTGAAACAAAGTATCCAAGGGAATTACCAGAGGGGATGAGAAGAGTTTGCTTATTATTGTAAATAAGGGCTGGAGAGGATTAGGATTGTTATCTAAATATAAAGCAGGTAAACATAATTTAAACTGAAGGTTAGTTTTGGCATAGGAACAAATTGATGCAGACTGACCTACTGTTTGAGATGGAACTTGATAAGCTTATTGGAGGATTTAATTAGCATAGTGTTTGCAACAATAGTGGGTTGAATGTGATGTCCCAGTGGGGGGAATTGCATCCAGCTTTTTGTTACAAAATGAAATAGCAGAGGTTTGTATGTCTTATTTAAGGTCACCCTAATGCACAACTTGCTATCTAAGAATAGTTTTGACAAATGCTGACCTTTTATTCTTGTTTGCTAAATTGTTGTGTGGTTTTGTTTTTTTTTCCTCTCAAGGGCTTGGATGATTTTAGATCAATACAGAAAGAAGTCAAAGCTTTTCCGTACTAAAGTTCTGTTGGCTCCACTAGGGGATGATTTCCGCTATGCCGAGAGCTCAGAATGGGATCAGCAGTACCAGAATTATCAGAAGCTGTTTGATTATATGAATTCTCATCCTGAGTGGCATGTTAAGGTAAATACAACACTTCTTCTGGTTTGTGGAAAAAATAATATTTCTCAGTATTTTGAGATTTTTCAGGGAGAAAAAGTTGTGGGTTTTTTTAAACTGTGGAATTTTATATGTTATTTAACAGCAGATTTGTTTGTCTTTGCAGATTACATTTTTTTACCTTTACTATCTCTTATCCCTCCAACCCAAAAACTTTGCTATTAATATCCGCTTGAAAACTATAAATAGCATCCCAACTAGATAACTGTAGAGAACAGCTATTAGGTTTGATTGTTTTCTTAGTGCTCTTGTTTTCACAGGCTTCAGGCATTGTTATTTAAGACTCGCAGGCTTTGTTATTTAAAACTATTGTATTTTCCTATTGGAAGTTCAAGCAAATTTTGTTGCTTTGCTTAGGCCCTCTTGCTTTTATGTCCCAGAATGAACAACAAATCCTAAGAGGTACCATTGCTGGCACATGTTGAATACAGTAAAATCTAAGAGACTTAATCTGGATACAAAAGGAGATTATACTAACATACTAACACAATTGTCAGATGAGATATCACTTCAAATCATTAACTATGTTTAAGTGTTAAGATACACATTCACGCATTTTAAGTGTAAGCTGAGTACTTTAGGGACTTCTTGTACTATAGATGTTCTTTGTGCTTGGACACCTTTTTATCATCTTCCAGCATGGGAATAAGAAATAAGGGACCACAACCTTGTTTTTTGTTGAGTTATTGCGTGAGAGCTGCTTTCACATTTAGGCTTTTTAAACACAGTCTGGTCTCCTTCATATATTGTATGTGTGTGCATCTTTTTTTCCTCACCCTTTCTGACATCTCCCCCCACTCCTCTAGCTACAGATTTGAGTAGTGCCTGTATTTTTAGTTCTTCCGACTTGTGTTAAGCATGAGAAAGATGATCACTTGGGATTGCAGCTCATCTGAGATCTGGATTTTGTATCTGTTTCCTGTGGGATGTGGGTGACATGATAGGTGTGAATGCCTGATATATCTTACTGGAGGGAGATAGACCTGGAGAGTACTCTTTTAAATCTAAAGCTTGTTGCTATCACCAGCTTTACCCCCCTCAAAATGGATACAGTGTGTAGTTTGTTACTCTTTGGGTAGTAGCAGCAGTTAAGACCACTTTCTGTGGTCTCCATTCCTAATAACCTAGGCTGGATGATTTCTTCTCTGGGGCAGAATATGAAGGCTCTAGCTCTGAGTTCATTCTTCAAGGACTGCTTGTGTTCTGAGACATCTGAAAGATCCTGTTCATCCCATTGTCAAGGACTGTAGGAGTCTACTTCATTAGCCCTGGCTTGCCCCCATTGATTAATGCCTTGGGAATCACACCAGCTCTTAGGGCCCTCATAGAAGTATCCAACCCTTTTTCTGGTTCTTAATACCCAAACAGAAAGATATGCAATCATCTGATTTAGCCACTTCATACCTAGGATACTTTGCTCACATGGAGCGCCATTGGTACTGGAGCATGTCTCCTTCTAATTCTATTTTTTTGTTTTTTTTTTTTTTTTTCTAACTGATGTTATTTATCCTTGGAATCATGAGCTTAGGTGGAGAACTTTCACACTCTGCATTTTCCTGGGGGAATGTAACTCCATAGGTAAGTAAGAGGTCAAGCTCAGCTTCCTAAGAACCTAGTTTATATAAAGGAGGCAGAGGTCACACCTTAAGTGCTGAGATGCCTAGGATATTCTTACTTATACAAGGGACTGCCTACTCTGCCTTTCTGATCTTATGAGATGTTTATCTAGTGGATATGTCTGTTAGCATTGAGATTCTCATGCCAGCAACTATTCTATGTTCCTAAAACTGTGTGGTAGTTTACTGGAAAAGATATATATTTTAGTCTCAGGGAGTTTAATCTCCCATTTGGATGTCTTCTTTACATCTGTTATGCATAAATTAAGATGAGGCTTTTTATATGCAGTAGAAGAGTCTACTACTGTTTCCACTCATTTGACATTAGAATGAGTTTTCTTCAATTTTGCTGGTTCCTCTGGTGAGGTTTTCTTCCTCTGATGTAACCCAGCATACAGAATGGAGGTCACCTGTACCTGCTTTCTCTTGGTGCATTGATATTTTTTCTTTTCCCCTTCTGAACAATGTCTTGTAGGTGTCTGTGATAGTGAGGGAAAAGGCTAAGTGTCCTAGAAGTGCCTGATAACGCAAGGATCACTGCTATTGGAATTTCTGTGGCAATATGTCTCTTTCTCTACTTTACTGCCATCCAAAGTGGCAAGTTATCATACTGTATCCACCTAACATACTTGGATCTTCTGAATGATTTTGAAGAGTTAATACTATCTTTTGAGGGTTTTTTTAAAGTTGAAATAGCACATCTTTGTTGTCACTGTGATAGTTCTTATATTCCAAACCACTTTTTAAAAGATTTGTACTAAAAACTTGTTTTCTGTTGTTGTAAATTGTAGCATGCTACTTTGTATGCCTGTTGTTCAAAATAATAAAACAAAAACAAACCAAAAAGGTGACTTAGTTTAAATTTGAAGAATTTTCATTATAGTTTATTATGAGGATACTTGTGGTAATGTGATCTGTGCTGTTCCCACTTCCATTAATTGATTTTTCCGCCGTCATTCAAAATCCAGTTTGCCTTCTATGCCTTTATCAAAATGTTTCAATGCTGGCAACATTGACACCAGGCCCTCTCCATTTTTTATTCCCGCTCCCCCCCCTTTTTTTTTTACCTCTCAAGCTTGAGGGTACTGTCTGTTGACCTACCCTGTAAAGCGCTGTTATTGCCTTACTTGTCTGAGTATTTTTAAAAATGACCAGAAGATAATGAATTTTTCGTACTCCCCTGTTAAATCTCAAAACACAATTTCTTTGTATTTAGTTTTTAAAAAGGGAATGCTAGGTTTTTGATCAACAGTCATCTTAGGTTAAGCATATGTTGGAGATCTGGAGCACAACAGAGTTAATTTTGAAAACGCGGGATTAAGACAACTATGCTCTTGTTGCTTTACATTAAGTTTCTTATTTAGTCCAGTCATCTACTTACATAATATTGAGATATTACTTAGCTTATGTATTAGACTTACTCATAAACATGAAAGAATGCTTTGCTTATTTGTTGTGACTTAGCTTGTATTTTAGATACAGATTTATACTTAAAAAAAAAAAAAGGAAGTATTTTATATTTCATGAATCATAGAATCATAATATAGTTTGGGTTGGAAGGAACCTTTAAAGGTCAATCTACCACCTCTCTGGGCAACCCATTCCAGTTCACCACCATTACTGTAAAGAAATGTCTTCTTTATATCTAGTTTGAATCTATCCTCTTTTAGTTTAAAAACGTTACTCCTTGTGCTATTGCTACAGGCCCTGCTAAAGAGTTTGTCCCCATCTTTCCTATGGGCCCCCTTTAAGCACTGAAAGGCCGCAATCAGGTCTCCCTGCAGCCTTCTCTTCTCCAGGCTGAACAACCCCAACTCTCTCAGCCAGGCCCTCCTCTGGATCTGCTCCAATAGGTCCATGTCTTTCTTGTACTGAATTGAAATGAAATGGAAATGCTTTTGGAGCAGCTATTCAGCTTGTCTGAAAAGTGTGCAAGGAAACTTTAAAACTCTTTAGGATAGGATTTCTGCTATAATTCTGCTGGAAGACTAGCATATTTCTGAAATGTATATGAAACCAAGCATATTCATTCTCTTTGTATGTCTAAATAAAGGAAATAGAACTATGTTACAGTAATTTTAATTTTTATTCAGGCCCAGTTTGGAACTTTGTCAGATTACTTTGAAGCTCTGCGCAAAGAAAGCAATTTGGGTGAAAAGAGCAGCAATTCATTTTTCCCTGTTTTAAGTGGAGACTTCTTCACCTATGCAGACAGAGATCATCATTATTGGAGTGGATACTTTACATCACGACCCTTCTATAAACGACTGGATAGAGTCCTGGAATCCTACTTACGGTAAATACTGCCATCCAGTAAATTCATAACATATATCTTGGCACACAGGAGAGATGAATATATAAGTACTTTAAATCTGTTGGACAGATGGAAAAGTGTTACTGAAACGCACAGTTTAAGTTTACTTACAATAAGAATAGACTAAATGGCCCCCAAATGTAGTTCTTGTTACAAATATTAGTTGGTGTATCTGGTTTTTTAGTAAACTCACAGAAATGTGACATTTTTTCCATCCAAACAAGCTGTTCTAAAATATTTTTCAAGGTAGCAGCAAGTCCTGATTCCATTAAAAACAGCAACTTGTATGCTTTTTTATTTCTGTATCGGATCTGGGTAGCTGTCAGATCAATCTATCAGTATGGCTATACTGTGAACTCTTTTAGAGAGAAATACAAAGGTCCAAATTTTACAAGGGTTGTTAGAGTCAGATGAGAATTAGTTAGAAATATTGTGTGCCAAGTGATCTCAGATTGCAAGGTACTGCCCTGCTGAAAAGTGTTTGCATCTTCTTTAAAGAAAAAATTATTGCTGAACTTTTGTAATGGACTATTTAATTAGTTCTTGTAGCAGCTGTAGTTAAGATGCATTGTAAAATGATTTAACTGTATTTTAAGGCTCCAGAAAAAATCTGGGACAGATGCATAGGATGTAAACCCTGGACATTTCATCTATTTCCACCACTTGGAAACTCAAGTTTCCAAAAGATTGTTCTTCCAAGGATCCTTAGTCAAAGGACACTTTTTCTTCTGGAAGGATCCTTTAAAATACACCTATTGTAGTGCCTTTATGTGCTGTTCAGACATTTTTGTGCTAGAGAAATCCTTCCTTGAGGATTTCTTACTTTTGTGTGCTGTAATGTCTGCTGCAGTAGTGGAGGGAGCAAGAGAGGTGTGGAAAGTAGTGTTTTGGGAGCATGGGAAGTAGAGTTTTGGAGACACATACAAGTGCATTTCAGAAGAGAAACCTCCATATCTAGCAGAATTTGTTTTCCTTCTGCCAAGGAATCAAGCCTTTACTCTGGTAAAGCGGAGCTTCACAAACTTGGGACACAGCTCCTCTGTGGTCTGTAGTATGTTTTTCTTGTGATGAAAGTGGCACCCTAAGAATACAGAGTAAGAAACCTAAGGAAATGAAGAAAATGAGTGAAGAAATGAAAGCAGTAGAAAGACTTAAGAAATGTGTAAGGAGAAGTGAGATCAAGGGCCTGAGAGTAGAAAGGTGTTAGGGAAGAGACAGTGTAACATCATTTTGAAGGCATTGCAAAAAACAAGGTGGGGATCCCTTCAGCAGAAGAATGTAAAGATAATACAGTAAGGAGAAGTTATTGGAGGAGCGACTTCTGCAGTGTTTTAATCAGAACTTTGGAATGTTACAAGTGTTATGCTTAACTTATGTGCAAAACCAAGAATGTTAGAAGATTACATAGAGGTCATTTGTAAGGCTAACAATAATTAGGAAGTTTGACAACAATTCATAAATAGTTTACAAATGGATTATCAAGCATCACTAGAGATACGATTTTCTTAGAAGCATTTTCTTTTACTTACTGTATCGACATTAAAAATACTATTTAGCTCTGTTCTAATTAGCTTGTTTATGATAAGAATCTTTGATTTGCAGTGAAGACAGCCTTGTTTAATACTGCTACTGGAAAATACAAGTTATATAGAAAATGGGACAGATGGTGTCTTTATAAATTGAATTCCCTACTTAATTGTTTTTCATACTTTTGCCTAAATTCCTTGCTGTTTGTTAAAATGCACCAAGGATTTAATTTTCTTTTAGCTTCATCCTAGCCTATTTTCTCAAAATTTTTAAGTGTTTATTGTATTAACATTTTGCTGGTTTTTATTACTTATTTTGCAAAAAATTTCATGTGAATTGCTTTCAGCATTACTTGTTGTATTTACAACTTTACACTGTTAAAAGATTCTGTCATGTAAGAATTTGTTACCTTTAACTTCTAAAAAAGGTACTAAACATACAGGTAAAGAGTCTCATGAAGAAAACTAAACCTGCAGTCTTACGATTTAAAACAAAGCACATTTCTAAAAATGCACCTAGGAAGTTTTTCATCCTTTATTATCCTCTGTGAATGACGTGTAAGAACAAAATGTATAGATGTGTTCTTGTCAGTTTAATATCAGGGGTTTTGGCAGTTTTGCTTTGAGACCTGGAGAATATTCAAGGATGGCATATTAGCTGTCAGAACAGCAGAATTAGGGGTTTTGTCTTTTATTTTTTGTTTTCTTTAAAGTCAGAGGAAATATATTATGATCATATTTAATTAATAACACCCTCGCCCCAACCTTGTGATTAAATTTTCCACAGTTCTTTTTGAGCTAACTTATATCTATCTATCTAGTGTGCATATATAAGTGTATGTATATATATGTGGGTGAATGAACAGTGAACAGGAGATAAGTGTGTGTGTGTATTCTTCACCAAGGATGAATGCTTGTAGGTTCCAGCACTACCAGGATCAAGAAGTACTTTACTGCTACTTAATAGCCAGGAAACAATGTTCAACCGCAGGACCTGCTATGATGACTGGCCATTTAAGCAAGAAAATAGTTGGTTGTTTGGTTTTCTCCCATTTTTAAAAAAAGTTTTGCGTTTGAGCATTAAAGAAAGTGCATGAAATGTAAGGATTTGGTAATGGAGATTGACATCATTGCTGATTTGAGACATAACTGATTTTTTTTTTTTAATCTTAAGTGAGAGATGGATGAGGGGTGGATGGGTTGAAGTAGTTTGAAAGGTAATGAAATCAGTGACCAGAAGTTTGTTTAATGTAATAATGGAAAGGTGCAAAGAACAACAGCGTAGTTTGGGGCAAGTTAGGAATGCATTCTGAGCTCTCATTCTTTACAGGTGTGATCAAGTTAAAATTGTGGCAAGTCTGCAAAAAAGATTATTGAAATAATTCAGGAGCAGGACAAGAGCCACAGTGATACCTCTAACTGTACAGATGGATAGAAAAGACCACATCTTGAGAGTTCAGAAACCCTTGGAAAAATGATTTATTATTTATTTAGGTTACAGATAAAGTGGACCTAAAGGTAACCTAGTGTAGGCCTTGAGCAACCAGTGAAGTAAATTTAGGTCTATTTGCAGTGTCCCATCAGGCAGAGATACAATGACAAATTAGAACACAGTAGATAATCTGTGGTAACTGCTTTAGGTAATCTGTAGTAGTTTGAAACAGAGGTGAGAAAACCTTTAATATCTTTCTATAAAAGTTGTATATAGAGAGGTAAATGCTTACTTATAAGTTGAAGTGTTCTCTAATACAAAGTATCTTGTGGTTTCACATCTAAGTGTCTTTCATCTTTGACCATTGAACCATTCTAATGTTTAGAATAATACTGAGACTTGAAAGGAAAGTCTAAGAGACTGATATACTGGATGGATCCATAAAACAGAATTAGTTATTTTTCTGAAAGGCAAAAGTGTTCCAAGTGTCCCTTATAGATGAAACGGATTTAAAGTGAAGTTCTGGAAGCAGTACGAACTGAAAATGTACTTACTATACAGCTTCATTTTAATGTCACTTCTCTTGTTTTTAAGGTTGTTACCTTGCTTATAAATAATGGACTTCCCTATTTAAAAAAAAAAAACAACAAAAAAACCCCCAAAAAATCAAACAAACAAAACCCACCTGTATTGTGGGAAGGGAAATATAACCTGTGTTTTGAGGACTAAAATGTTGTGTTACTTTCTTCAAAGCTATAGTTGGGTCAGTGTTTAGTGGCTAAGTCAAATTTTTAAAAAAAGGTAAAACACTTTCAGACAGGGCTTATTCACTAGATGAATGTGCAGCTGTTGTCTTTTTACCTACAATATACTTCTTTTCCTTTCAGGTTAAGCTGTAATAGAAGAAAGTAGGACGAATGCATATAGGAACACTAAAGCACTAAGGAACACTAAAATCACAGTCATTAAGCTTAAGTTTACTAGTAATAAAAAAAAAAAGGAATTACAACTTTTAATACCTTGATTTTGTCTGTAGCTTCTGAGGAGTTATCTTACCTGTAAGAGCAAAATTTCATGCTATTCCTCAAATATTGACAATATAAAAAAACTTGAGCTGTTATATGTGTACCTTTCAGTTTAGTTTGATGCATGCTACTGCAGTTTTAACATAATTGTCACCTGCGTGATGCATAAAGACAAAGAGACCAAACTGAGTCCAAAGGTGTCTTTCATGTTAACAGTTAATATCAATGCATAGTCTGAAAACTCAAGTTGAAAATTATTAAAAATCATTAAATTTGTTGTACCTAGTTTAAATTTGAACACATGCACTCACTGACAGCTTGGATAAATGTAAAAGTTAAAGTATTTTCCTTTTTTTCTTAGTTTTTTTTATTTGCATGCCTAGAAGTTAGTTTTACATTTGTTTCAAGAACATATATTATTTTGCTTTTTTTGCTTTTTATTACATTAACCTATGTCTTCCTGATTTCTTCAAACACTTGAGAAACCTTCATTGAGGTCAAATAAAGTTTGAAAAGGAATCTGACACTTTTCAGACTTAACAAAAAAACTGTAACACTTTAGGAAAAGGAGATAGGAAAAAACTAACATGGTTTCCCAGAATTTCTACAGGCATCTTCGTTAATCAGATATTCATAATGACTGGCAATTATAGGGATGGGGTTTTGGGGTTTTTTTTGTAAAATAAAACCAGATTCTCATAAATCAAGTGAGAACCTAATGGTAATATTTCAGTGCTAGGCTTTTGCATAAGAAATAGGAGAGAAGAGGTCTGGATTCAGTCTAGGAGTTTTTGAATCCAGTGTTCTTGCCATTCAGGAGAACGTATAGTGAGCAGGTACAGGAACTGCCTTTAGGAGAATTTAGTTTGCTTAAAGTACAAATGGTGGAATAGATATTATATAGGATGTACAGATTAATATATTTCTTTAAGATAATTTTATTTGTTTAATAGGTTGCTTTTTGAAATAGAAATTTTAAGGCAGTCTGTCCTTACTGTATCATTTTAAGATCAGATCTGTATACCTCACACATTTGTGAAAATGGTATGTTACTTTGTACTGGTGTATTTTTATTTTAAACCTCTATTTTCCGTCACTGAAGCCTTGCAGGAAGCTTACAAGGTGTAAAACTAATTGATGATGAAGAGCAGCAGTGATTTTTAACTGTTTGAAGCTGGCAACAGGTTAAAAAGCACAACTTTAAGTTTTAAAAAACTCGCAGAACAAGGCATGAGGAAAGATGTAAAAATATCAGTTTATTCTTCAGGTATAATGCATGCTGGTTTTGCTTTTTAAACCTGTATATTTGATTCTTCTCTGCAATTCCAGGGCAGCTGAAATTCTCTACTCTTTGGCTTTCATACAGTCCAGTAAATCTGAGAAGATGGGTGTATTTCCTTCAGTGGATAACTATAAATTGCTGACAGAAGCTAGGAGGAACCTTGGACTCTTTCAGCATCATGATGCTATTACAGGAACATCTAAAGATTGGGTAGTTGTGGATTATGGCACTAGGTAATTTGTTATAAACTTAAATCTTAATTTCCCTTTGCTTTTTAAAAACAGAAGTATTTATTTCAGAGATATAGATTTGTTATAGCTAGCAGTGTACTCAGTCCTGAAAGTGTAGTGGGTCTCCACAAGTGAAGTGGATTTGATTACCCGTGCTTTTAGTTTACAAAATAGTTTTTAATCCTCTGAAGTAAGAATTTGATGTCCAAACAAAATTTCTGAAGTTTTGAAAGATGCTAGGTAGACATGATACTGAGGGTTCTTTAATAACAGGACTATTATTTTCTGCAGTAACTGTTACAGGAGTATAGGAGAACATTTTATATCTGCCTGTGCTAAGCAATGATCAAGAGACATGCTAATTTAAGCACATGTTCCTTGGAAAATCCCACTTCCTCTGTAACCTGCCTTTTTTCAATGTGGGAAATCTTTCTCATTTTGCCAATCTTCTACTTAATTTGTCTGTTACTTATTGCTATTGTATCTGGTGGGTAGTTGCTTTCTTGGTATTGACAAATTATTCTGCCAGCTACTTTGTGGAATTTTGTTTTGAAGAGGAGCGTGTGAGACATATATCTACATCCACAGACGTATATGCTTTAATTACGCATTTGTTCAGAAGATTATTACATATTGAAATGTTAAGCACTAGTAAATTTGAGGTAGGTGTTGGTAGATGGTTGGTGGTTAGAGCATGTCTAAATAATAAGTTCTTGGTTTAAATGCCTCTAAAATACTCTTTCTCAGTTTAAACTGCATTCATTACAGGAATTTTTAAATTCAATAAACTTGTTGATTTTTTTTATCTATTAAAACATAGGTATAATCAGGGTATAAACGTGCAATGCATTTGATTATATGAGAGAGTAAAAGAAAGGCTTTTTTCACTTTACAAATAAAATTTCACAGCTCTGTATTTAAGAATTTGTAAACCTTATGTCAGTTGAAGCAATGGAAATGATGGTAATAATTTAAATTTTTGTGTTTCTCATTGTTTTGCTAATCTTGCTTAAAGGCAGTCTCACCTATGTGACCATTGTTTGAGGCTTGTCTCTATTATAGATACTGGAAATCAAATATATATAAACCACAAATTTTCCTAAGATTAACATTTTTAAAAAGTACTTCGTATATTGAGAGTCTATGTTCTTTAGCATAACAATGGGGTGGAGATGTACCTTATTTTCAGTGTGCAAGGTATATATATAACGAAATTCAGAATATTTCTGCATTTTGCGGTCTCGTCACTCACTGCCACTAGCTGTTCTTAATTTTGTGCTATATTGATATTAAAGGTTACACTTATTTTTCTCATACTTTTAAGTTCTTTAATATTTTTAAATGTTAATGTTATCACATTGAATAAAAAAAATTAAAACTAACTAAGACTTTGAAATTTTCAACAGGCTTTTCCATTCAATAATGAACTTGAAGAAAGTGATAATTGACTCTGCTCATATTCTTATCCTAAAAGATAAAGGTGCTTATGACATATCAACTCCGTTCCTGAAGATGGTGAGCTATCTTCTGTGATTTTCTCCAAAAATGAAATGTGAACTATGTCTTTTCAATACAGTTTGAGCAGCCTGGGAAAAGTCAGAGTGAAATTTGCTGCTAATGACTGCTCAAAAATCTGCTACTTACTTCTGTTCGTATTAATTGAAGATATTGGAAAGTAAAAAGTGAAAGCTTCAGCTGTTAATGCTGAAAAAAACCCCACACATCTAAAGTAAATGGCCTAATTTTATTGCACTTTATTAATCACATAGTCAAACTAGGTGTTCTAATTGTCTTGTGGGCATAATTTTGCTGGCTTCAGTGGCATGCATATGATAAATGAATATGTAACAGTGTGCAGGCCTGTAATTTGACTTCACTTATCACTTATCAAATGTTGGAAGAGGAAAAGTTCCATCCTGAACATAAGCCTAAGCTGAATTTGCAAGACCAGGTCTAGACAAGACCTTGTGCTTTTTTCTCTGAGCTGAAATTCAAAACAGGAATCTACTGATGATAAAGTCAGCAACAGATCCCCACATATCATTTGAGAGTCACTTTACACAGAAGAGCATGTTGAAGAAACACAGTTGCTAATATTGTTTCTTTTCAAAATTTTAGTTTCTTCGCTTTCTGAACAAAAGCTCTCTGCTGTGATAACTAGGAAGTCTTAAGAAGTTTACCTAAGTCCATACATGTGGAATAGAGAGGAAACAAGATGCTTGAGTTTCTTTGTGCACAAACATACCAGGATTAAGACAGTCTTTATTTTATGATTACCTCACACTTCTAACATAGCTAACATGACTTATATTCTGCTGACTTAGATGTGTCATATCTTAAATTACTCTTCCAGTCATGTATATTTAAAAAAAATAATTGTTAAAATAGTTCTTTTTACATTTTATGACTTTGATACTAAAATATATGTGCATGATGCTTATATGTGCCTGTGGATGTGTGCTATGCAGATGCATGCCACAAATATGTCACTTTTCTCCTGGTTGGAAAAGCTGACAAAATGAATGTGCACCTTCATAAAGTAAGACTATTTTGAAGTCATTCCTGGAATGAGGTTTTCACTTCTGCTCTGAATAGTATTGGAGGATGTTGTGATGTTAAATTCTACTAAACTTTAAATGTTCCTGTTCTTTATGAATCTGGATTAATATCACTGGATTGTAGAAATACTAACTGCTGTTTAAACTGTGTATTGCCTAGGAGCATACTAAGTTAAACCCACTATTACCACAGTGAAAGCAGAAATGAAAAATGAAGTTCTTATTTCAATGAATTTATGATATATATAAAAACAGGAAAAAAGGTGATTACAGAAGTAGATTATGATTTATCTGTATGATATACAGTAACTGCAGTGTATCATAAACCTAATACTCCCACTGTTCTTTGGTTACCACAACAAAAAGGTTTTAATGTGGGATTTGTAGAATGCTAATGGGACAACTTCAGGATATTTACAGAAAACATTTTACAAACCTTGGGCAAGTAGAAAGTTCAAAGGCACTTGTTTTGAAATACCATCATGGTATTTTGGTGGCTGATGGAAGCTGACATCAAGAATTGCTCAGAGATAGATATTCAGAATGAATGTCAAGAGAGTTGAGAGAGACAAATGATGAAGACTGTAGGATTGAAAACGTTGGTTGTCTTTGAGCAGTGAAGAAAGAAAAAACACATGGTCAATGGAACAGAGCAAGAGACTATAGGAGCATCCCAGTAGATAGTAGATACAACCAGAGGAAAATTGCCCCTCTTGAAGCCATAAAAAAAGAAGTTGGAAATGAGAATTATGGAAGGATGCCAGAATGACATTGTGTGCACTGTGTTTCTGCTGTTCTTAGTTACACACAAAAGCATCACGGTTTTCTCAGCTGGTAACTGAATACTTTGTACATCGTGTTAAGTTTTACAGACTGTACATTAGTAAACAAACAAAAACTAGGGGTCACTTAGACTTGTGAAACAAGTCTTCAAGTAGTTTATACCACATAAAAATCATACACCCCCCAAAAATTTTAGTTCTTCTAAAATTTTCTTTTTGTACAATGTAAGGTAACAATGAGACCTGACAGAAGACTAAACTCTAAATCCTTGTGATAAATATATGGGTGTGTAGGGTTTCAGAGAGTAAATTTATAGCAAGAGAAATTAATATAAATTTGCAAAATTTGAAAGAAGTTGGTTGATTATGATGTCTTGTATGCAAAAATGGTGACGGTATCTAATGAGACATTGAATGAAAGCAAAGGTTTCTCAATGAATTGGTCAAGGTGAGCCTTTTTCTTTTGTCAGTCTAAAGTACTTGGTTTATAAACTTCTGTGGTAACATGCTAAAATAGCCTTCTGTTTATGGTATGGCTACCATGGTTTTGTATTTCATAAAGTTCATATAATAGAAAAGCTCATATATTAGATGTTTAAGTGTATTCAAAAGCAAATTCAAAGATGTTCTCTTGTAGGAAGATGTTCAGTCTTCCCAAGATTCTTTGCCACACAAGACAGTTATAAAGCTGACATCACAACCAAGGTAAATAATTAATGTATTACTTAGTGTCTAAGATTCTTTTAGCAATGTGTGTGTTTTCACTACCTAGTAGGCTTCTATGCCATTTAATATTTTCTAACTTTCACACAAAATAAAGATAAAATTTAAAAAATATTTAAAAAAAATGAAAAAAGGTTAAAAGGTAGTCTGACATATTATGCTAATACTAAAACTATGTCTAGTTGAAAGGGGACACAGCACTTTAAAACTATAGAAGTTTCTCAAACACCACTAATTCAGCTGCAGCAAATAAGGTAGTCTTGTTTAATGTATGCTTTTATAACATTGTAATCCTTAATAGATTATGCTTGAGAGCAGCCATAGAAAATTCTAATTAAACATAATTACAGCTAGCTTAATTAACACTGTGTGCAAAACCTTAGTTTTTATAAGGCCTAAAGATCACAATAAATAAATGCTGGATTGTCTTCAAAATTCAAGCAGAAGATAAACTAGGACACTATTTTCTCTTAACTCCAACTTCCCATTGTATTAACAGCACTTACTACTTTACATGCAGTTTTAGAGTATTCATTTGAAATTGACATCCTGCTATCCCCATGAACATTCAGTATCCAACCTGAAATAACTTAAACATTCATTAAAAGTCAATTATCCAAATAAAATGAATAAGATGCATGGATATGAGAACTGCTGTATTTGTAAATCAAGTAACACAAGATTTTTGCTTACAGAACAGAAGATTCAAGATTCATTCAAAAAGTAGTGAATGTTATTTTTGCTGATGTTAGTATTTTAATTTCTTTAGTTCTAGCAAGTGGCAAGCTGATAAAACTTACTTGCCTAATTCATGAAGGTGTCAGACTATTCAGCAGACTAACTGCTACTGTTAAAAGGTTCTAAAAAGATTCTTTGAAAACTGAGCAAAGTTGGGTCCTTGTGAGCAATTGGGGGAAGCTGTCTGCAGTCCTCTGAAGTATGTATATAATGTGTATGTATATGTAGTTTTAATATAATCTTGTCTCTAGAGCAGTCAGATGCATACATACTTTTTTTTTTTAATAGCAGTAGTATTAACTTATTGGAGTGTTAGATAGGTGCTAGTAGATTATCTTAAACTCGTCCAAAATGGTAAAAAACCTCGGGTGCCTAGCTATTTATTTAACTAAAACATTTCAACTTTTTAAAAATATATCCTCAGATAACTTCACTGGGAGAGGATTGTATATAAACACGTGGCTTGGAGGCGAGTTATGATGTAGACTTTCTTTGCCGTTTGAGGATAGCTTTAATGCTTTTGCTTTTTTTGCCTAGGTTAGCTGTTAAAATTTCCCTCATGCCCCTTCCATCCCCTGATATGCCTTTTGTTTGCATCCACTGTTCCACTTATCTCACTGCATAGCATGCCAAGTATTTTATGAATTTCAGGCATTTGCTTTTTTTCCCCCCCTTAGTTGTATGTTGAGTAGATATACATGTCAAGTTTTTTATTTTAAAATCAGTATTATCCTAACAGCCTTTTGCTGCTGTTCTCTAAGCTTGTCTTAACTAAGAAGATAACATTGGTAGATAATTGCTAATTTTAACTTGTTTGGTATTGTGAAGATATCATATAAAATGTGGTTGATGTTGCAAAGACTGTGTAATCAGAATTATGGGAGACAGAGGAAAAAAAATGTGAGGGGGAAGGGAAGGAGAAAGATTACAAGGGAATATTGATATTGCTGCCTGGAAACCTGTTTTTTTTTGTAATGACTTCCTGTTTGGAAACACTTTCAAGGCAATGTTAAGTTCACCCTACTTCATGTTTCCTTTCTTGTTAAAATTTTCATTTGAATGTGTATGTTCAATTATTTTTCTCTTATAAAAATGAGCTTAGTCTTTCTAGGCTTCTAACTTTATCTCTGGATGTAGTCTGAATCTCAACTAACATAAGTACTGTTGTGACAAGTGGTATGTAAGCTGAGACAGTAACTTTTGCTCAAATCTAGTATGTGAATATTATGACTTTGCATTTCAGTAGAATCTTAAATTCAACTTGATAAATTTATCATTAAGGATTACTGTGCTTAAACTTCAAAGTTTGAAGCTTCTAAGACAAAACTGGTTTTTCATTTCAAATTTTGAGACAGCAGCAGACTGGAAATACTGATTCTCAGCAAACCTTTATTATTTGGTTATCCTCTATTCATAATAATCTTCATTGTTCATGTCTGTAGCATGAAATCTCTAGATTTCTTTCTGTTAATGTGTTCTAATATGCCATTATGTGGGATAGAAATGAACTTAATGTTACTGGCAAGGTGTTACTTTTCTTTTGTTGGCTGAATATATGTATCTTTTCGTAGTTTTGCATTTCCATGTCAAGATTTTTAAAAATAGCTGTACTGTAAATTGATTATTCTTAAAAAAAAAAAAAAAAATGGTTCATATCTCCTATAAATTTAGAGGAACACTACTGATGGGAAGCTCATAAGATAATGGCTTTTTTAATCTGATTAATTACTCAATCATTTTCCTATTTTTTTTCTTATTTTACTGAGTGGATGCTGTCAATTTCAAATCTAATCTACTTTTCAACAGGGAAGTAGTTGGTAGTGTGCTTTTGCCTTTCTCATCCAGTCTTCCTTTTTGATGTTTTTTGTAAGGTGATCTCTTCATTGCTTGTGCAAGTTGTAGTCAGTAGTGAAAATGAATTGGACAGACTGTACAGGAGAGCTAGTACAACTTAATTACATGAGAAAAAGGAAAAGAGAAAAAAATCTTATCTTTCAGTAGTCATTGTTCTTCTAATATGAAGTAGCTCCAGATTGTTGTGTGATTGAGAAGTATTTTTCAAACTGTTTCTAATTGGGTTCCACTTTTAATATATTTGGTATTGTTCCTCCTCCTGTCCCTGCATCTCGTCTCTGTTGTGCTCTGTTGCCATCTTTTTATGAATCTGTAGTTTTATAAAAAAAAGTAATGAAACAGGTATGTAGAATATTTTAAATCTTACTGTGACTCTGCCACCTTAGAACAACTAAGTGGTCTTATGATCAGGCTTTTGAGTACTGGATTTATGGCGCATTTAATTACACTAAACGCATTTTCACCGATAAATGAGTTGCATGATTTTTTTTTTTTAAAGTTACTTCTATCTGAAAAACAAAGCTTTCATGAAATAATATCCAACTAGATATGGAACTACTTTTGTCTTATGTTGTAATAATTGTTAATTTCAGAACGCCTTGGAGGCAAAGCCTGTGAGTATTCTAAATTGGATACTGCATCACACTTCTGTGAGAGCCCTGTCCTTTGATATAATCATTGCTTCTTGGGAATAGTCTGCCAGAGGTCATGCTTCCCAGATGGCAAAAGACTTGTACTCAGTGGACTTGGGGGGCGGTGTGTGGGGTTTGAACATCTTGCCCATCCAGTTTAAGCTGTTGGCTGTTGATGAAGGGTGTGTCGACAGTGTGAAAGAAATAGCTAAGAAATCTTGACAAACTACGACGTTCACTGGAGACAGCATTGCAGGGGAATGTGATACATGACCAAATAACTGAATTGGCTGTCTGTACCAAGTTGGGTCTTGTAGTAGTATTGTTTCACACTACATGGTGAACCTAGGAGTAAATGAGACCTAACAGTATCAATCATGCTTTTTTTTTTTTTATTTTGTTTCACTTCTGAACGTTCATGTAGCTGGTTGAGGGGCTTCGTTACACATTTACAAGTATGTTGTAAGGCATCCCATCTGAACTGAAGATACTATGATATTGGAAGATTTTTTTTAAAATTGTTGATTTAGGATTATTATTAGTGCTAAAACAATAATACTTAATAATTTGCCCGCAAATTACTTTTGTCACCTAATTATAGAGGAATGGTATGATACCCGTCTTATCAGACTAGCTAAATAGTTTAGCAGACACATTTTCCACTAGTTGAAATATTCAGGTGTCCCAGGAGATTAATTCAGAGTAGGATACACTGTAATCAATGATTTCTTCAAAGACCTGTCAAAGCACCAAGCAGTTTAGTGACATCCACCTTATAAAAGAAAGATTCATTTTTCCAAACAGAGGATACAAAATAATCTGGGCTGTTATCCTTACTTCAATATCTATGAGCAGGTTTTGGCATAAGGTTGTAATTAACAAAGTTTTGGCATAAGTTGTGCTCATCCTGAAATTTGTGATCTTTTCTGAGAATGAAAATTCTGATTTACTTTCGAGATTTTGCATGTTGGTTACCTTTCAAAAATTCACTTGGCAGGTGTACCCGCTGCTTTCTCTACACAGCACAATAATGTAGAAATAAAAGCTATGTTATTAAGTTTACTGTGTGATAAAGAATAATATAAAATGGCCAAAAATTTTTGGCAGACTAGTGTGTATGTTACTGTATTTGGTTGGAAAATGACAGCAAGGATAACTTGCCTGAGAAGGAGACCTTGTTGGTATCATATGCCAAAAGGGAAAGCTGTCCTGATAACGTGAAGTAATTGATTAAATCTTCACACCAAAGGAACTGTGTCTTTCTAAGCTTAGAAGGTGACTAGATTGGGGTAATGTTTTAATATTCTCACTTGGCAACTTTAACTTTGGTGATGGGGTTTTTGTTGTGTTTTTTTTTTTTTTTTTAACCTGTGTTTCCCATATTGGTACAATCAATCTAAAGAGTTGTCCAATGTAGTTATAAGGAGAGGATGCTCTGACAGCATATGACATTTTAATAATATACATTTTAATTACCTTTTATGCTTGCATGCGTTCTGAGGTGTATGTATCTCTAGTTATAGGCTGAAACAGTTTTTAAAAAAGGCAGTTGAACCTAGGGTATTTTCAGTTGTCAATGAAGCACAAAAATCTTTAAAGACAACAAGAAAGGATACAGTAACATTTAAAATGAGGCTAAAAATATGTGTGGCAGTTTATACATTGTTAATAAGCATGCTTGTTCCCCAGGGGAGAAAAAAAAGAAAGCAAACAAACAACAAAAAAAAAAATGGAAAACAAACGAACAGGTTTAGTTTT